AATGTGTGTATATGTATGAGGAGAAAATACGAAGATTGCTAAACTCCTTGAACGTTTGGTGACTGAGCCGTCCAAACCGTAAAGGTTGAGATTGGTTGCTGAAATCGACTTGTTGATGATGGTCATATTGCTAAAAGAGCGTTGTTTTATTACTTTATGTCAGTGTTCCATCTCTCTCCTTCAGATTTATCTGTTATTACTACTGGCAATAAAAGATACTTGATTCTTTCAGCTTCTTCTGTTGTTCTAAAATACTGGTGTTTTTCCCTTAAGTGACAACGTCATCAGTGTAGGGACTAACACAAACTACACCTAAACTATTATCAGGGTAAAACTCAAGAACATTAAAAATTTTCAATTTTATAACTTTAGCATGTGTGGTTCTTAGGTGTTTTTTTGCAAGAGCACAATCGATGTTTGGCGAAGACTTATAAGTATTGTCTAACTATGTTTCTAGTTCAAACTGAAATATGCTCAATTCTTACTTGAAAATGCTCAAAAAATTTAAATCTCTGATCACTAAACCTGTAACTTCCGATCAGTTATCATTCACGCACCATGTCTCCAATTTCTTATCCTCCACCACTCTGCGCTTGCATTTGCCTTTTTTTTTACTGTTATATGTTAATTTCAGCTGAAAACAGCTGCTAGCTACCTCAACCAGTTGCAGAGATCAACTGGTTAAGGTGCCGTTTCTAAGGTTGCTGCTAATACGACTTCTAAACTTTATGGAATAGTAGGAAAGATATTTGCGAAGACTGTTTGTATGTGTATGTGTGTCTGTGTGTCAACAAAGACCACTGGTTTTAAACACCTCCGTATGACGCGCATAACGTTCGTTCAGTATTTTCAACAGTTGCTGAATGAAAAAAAAAAAGCTCAAATTCAGATTTCTTCGTTTTTTTCTCTTCTGAACTCCTGGGATATTTCAGAAATGATCGGCAACTTCCACAGTGCCTGTACTTATGTGCTCTGTCAGAACTGCTCTTGAATAAATCTACCCCCTCCAAGCTGCCATTACTAACATTAACGTCCCTTCCTCTGTATTAGCCTTGTCCCTCGCTGCTTCCACCCATTGTCCCCATCGCGATCTTTCCTATGTTCTTTCACTTATCGACAATACGCGTTAAGCTGTTTGTTCTCTCCGAATCCATTTCTTTGCTCGCAAACAGTTTTAGCGACAATACATGAAGTCCACCAACACTTTTCTTCAGTCCTTTTTTTTGAGAGTTTTTAAGTCGTTTACCGCAAACTAGAAAGATAACATGTTTACATGACCGGCTGAACACATATCAATATATTTATGTATATATTTATTTGTTTGTTTATATTTATGTGATAAATGTATTTTATTCAACCGATTAAGTTTAAGAAACGGTTCCCATGCTTTTGTTTGCAAGCAATCAAAATGACAAAAGAATAAAAAAATACTCATCTATTTTTGTGCAGGTTTAGACCGAGAAAAAAGCAAATTTCTCACCTTCCCTACTGTACAGTAAAATCTTAATCTTACCGCAAACTAAAAAGGTATTACTGCGTCAAATTCACTTTGGTTTTTCCATGCTTACCCTTTTCAATATAGTTTTTCCTTTTATTCAAAGTTATAAATATTTTTAAAACTGGCAAATAAGGAAGAACTTTTATGTACAGAAGTGGAAGTATACGTACTTTGGGTTAACAAACAGCTAGAAGATAATGCTAAGAAAAGAGAAATTCCTCCGGGTCTCCGTGTTTTTTCTTCTTGCATTACTAATTTATAAATTTTGACAGTTTTTTGTTTCTTTAGGTCTTGTTCAAACTCGGTTGGCCAGAGGAACATGGCAGAAGACATAACTTGCGATGAGCGCACTGCTCAACTTTTAACTGGCTTACAAGCCGAAATTCGCTATTACTGCGCATTGGTCAGTGTTCCGAGAATTTAAAAATGACTGAGACTTTTTGGTCGATCATAATAACTTTATATCTCGTTGAAAAGAATTATGATCTCTGTTTAGTGCTTCTTACGCTTTCTTTTTTTCTGTTCTACACTCCTGTTTTTCAGGTGGAATTCCAACGGCGAAAGGATCTGGAAGCAGCCTACGATATTATTCAAAGGAATATTCGTGCCTGGTTTGTGCTTCGAACATGGGACTGGTTCAACTTGTTTGGCAAATTAAGACCAATGCTGAAATCTGGTAAAATGCAGGAGGAAATTGAAGTGTTGAAGAAGAAAATGAGTAAATTTGAAGCAGACATAAATGCCCAAGATGATTATCGTCGAGATATGGAAGCTCAGATTGAGAAAGCCAAACAAGAGAAAGAACAACTTCTAATTCAACTAGAAAATGCAAAAACTGGTGCCGCTACAGTTGAAGAACGTTTAGAAAAATTGGAAGGGACGAAGGAAACATTGGAGAAAACTATTACAGAAATTAATGACCGAATTAGCGCACAAGAAGAAAAAACGGCAGAAGTGATTCGGACGAAAAAGAAGGTGGAAAGTGAATGTGCAAATATCAAAAAAAACGCGAAAGACCTTACTGATACTTTGTTAAAATCAGAAGCAGAAAAACGTGAGAAAGAAGAACAAATTCGTGTTTTACAAGAAGAATTAAATCAACAAGATGAAATGATAGCCAACCTTAACAAGGAAAAAAAACAACAGGAAGAAATGAATCGGAAGTTAACAGAAGATATGCAAGGCGAAGAGGAGAAAAATGCCCAAGTTACACGACATAAGGCTAAGCTAGAGCATACCCTCGATGAGTTAGAAGAAACCTTAGAACGGGAAAAGCGTGGTCGTAGTGATATAGAGAAATCAAAAAGGAAGGTAGAAAGTGAACTTAAAGTCATACAAGAAACAGCCGATGAAGCAACTAAGCAGAAACAAGAGCTGGAGAGCAATCTGAAAAAACGAGAAGCAGATTTACATGCTCTTGGAGTTCGGCTTGAAGATGAGCAAAATTTGTACGGTCGAGTCCAACGGCAGTTGAAAGAACACGGCGCAAGGGTTCAAGAGCTGGAAGAAGAACTGGAAGGAGAAAGACAAGCAAGAACGAAATCTGACCGTGCTAAATCTGAACTACAGAGAGAGTTGGAAGAATTGAGTGAACGTTTGGATGAACAAGGTGGAACTACGTCAGCGCAAATGGAACTAAACAAAAAAAGAGAAGCTGAAATAGCAAAACTTCGACGAGATCTTGAGGAGGCAAACATGAATCATGAGAACACTATCGCCGGATTGCGCAAGAAAAACAGCACTCAAGTCGCCGAACTTACTGACCAACTGGAAGAACAACAGAAAGCCAAAACAAAGGCAGAAAAAGACCGCCAAGCTATTCAAAGGCAACTTGAAGATGTACAGGCAACATTAGATTCCGAGATAAAGCAAAAAACAGAGCAGGAAAGAATTGCAAAAGTTTTAGAGATTCAGGCAACAGAACTGCAAACGAAGACTGAGGAACAGCTACGACAACTACAGGATTTCAATTCGCTTAAAGGACGTATGCAAGGAGAGAACAACGAATTAGCGCGGCAAGTTGAAGAGTTGGAGAACCAGCTAGCTTCCATGTTGCGTGTTAAGGCTCAGTATGCCAGCCAACTGGAAGAGTTGAAACGAGCTGCCGGAGAAGATACGCGGGAAAGGCATTCGTTAAATGCCACCGCTAAAAATCTGCAGCATGAAGCTAATCAACTCCGTGACTCACTGGAGGATGAGGCGGCTAGCAAAGCTGATATTCTAAAGCAGCTCAGCAGAGCGAATGCAGAAATTCAACAGTGGAAAGCCAAGTTTGAAGGCGATTTGCTTGTTGGTGCAGACGAGCTTGAGGAGGTTAAACGCAAGCAACTTGCACGAATTGCCGAGCTAGAAGAAGCGCTAGATACTACTCATGCAAAGATTGGTGCAGTTGAGAAAGCTAAAGCAAGGCTATCCGCTGAAGTGGAGGAGGCCCGTTCAGAAAGTGAAAGACATCTGAGTCTAATTGGACAGTTGGACAAAAAGCAGAAGTCTTTCGACAAGATTATTGACGAATGGAAAAAGAAGGTTGAAGATTTGAATAGCGAATTAGAGGCAGCTCAAAAAGACGCTCACAATTCATCAACAGAGGTATTCAAACTTCGATCTCTAAACGACAACCAGGCAGAAACGGTGGAGGCACTTCGACGTGAAAATAAGGCCTTAGGTCAAGAAATTAAAGAACTTCAAGACCAGCTCAGTGAAGGCGGGCGTTCGGTCCATGAGATGCAAAAGATTGTTCGACGACTGGATATTGAAAAAGACGAACTTCAACACGCACTCGATGAAGCGGAGGCGGCTCTGGAAACTGAAGAAAGCAAGGTTATTCGGTCACAGTTGGAAGTGACACAAATCCGTTCCGAAATCGAAAAACGAATTCAGGAAAAAGAGGAAGAATTTGAAAACACGAGGAGAAATCATCAACGTGCTACTGACAGTTTACAGGTTTTTCTTGCCTTCTTTAAAATATCTGCTTTATGAAGATTTTTTTTT